ACTCTGCTGAATCTTTCTATTAGTTCCAGTAGTTTTCTCATGGAGTCTTTTCCATTTTCTATGTATAGTATCATATCATTCACAAATAGGGACAGTTAAACTTCATTACCAGTTTGGATGCCCTTTATTTCTTTTTCTTGCCTTATTGCTCTAGGTAGGACTTCCAGCACAATGTTAAATAGGAGTGGTGATAAAGGGCATCCTTGTCTTGTTACTGTTCTCAAGGGGAATGTTTTCAGCCTCTCTCCATTACGAATGATGTTGGCCGTTGGTTTTGCATAGATGCCCTTTATTATGTTGAGAAATTTTCCTTCTATACTTATTAGGAGTTTTTATCAGGATGGATGTTGGACTTTGTTGAATGGGAAGGGGAGAATTCTACCACTGAACCACCACCACCCCTTAAGGATTAAATAAGATGGTGTTAATTACCGAGCTTCCACTGTCTGGTACATAGCAAGAGCTCAGTAAACGTTAGCCTGGATTATTTTTAGTTGGCGAGGGACAACCAGATAGGGACGGTGGTGGCTGTTGTTGTCAGGTGCTGTCAAGTCGGTTCCAACTCACAGCGACCCCATGTACAACAGAACGAAACACTGCCCGGTCCTGTGCCATCCTCACAATCGTTATGCTTGAGCCCGTTATTGTAGCCACTGTGTCAGTCCATCTTGTTGAAGGTCTTCCTCTTTTTCGCTGACCCTCTACTTTACGAAGCATGATGTCCTTCTCCAGGGACTGGTCCCTCCTGGTAACATCCAAAGTATGTGACATGTAGTCTCACCATCCTTGCTTCTAAGGAGCATTCTAGCTGTATTTCTTCCAAGATAGGTCTGTTTGTTCTTTTGGCAGTCAATGATATATTCAATATTCGTCAGCAACGCCACAATTCAAAGGCATCAATACTTCTTCAGTCTTCCTTATTCATTGCCCAGCTTTCGCGTGCGTTATGAGGCGACTGAAAACACCATGGATTGGGTCAGGCACACCTTAGTCTTCAAGGTGACATCTTGCTTTTTAACACTTTAAACAGGTCTTTTGTAGCAGATTTGCCCAAGGCAATGTGTCATTTGATTTCTTGACTGCTGCTTCCATGGGCGTTTATTTTGGATCCAAGTAAAATGAAATCCTTGACAACTTCAATCTTTTCTCCATTTATCATGATGTTGCTTATTGGTCCAGTTGTAAGGATTTTTGTTTTCTTTATGTTGAGGTGTAATCCATACTGAAGGCTGTAGCCTTTGATCTTCATCAGTAAGTGCTTGAGGTCCTCTTCACTTTCAGCAAGCAAGGTTGTGTCATCTGCGTAATGCAGGTTGTTAATGAGTCTTCCTCCAATCCTGATGCCCTGTTCTTCATATAGTTCAGTTTCTCAGATTATTTGCTCAACATAAAGATTGAATAGGTATGCTGAAAGGATACAGCCCTGATGCACACCTTTCCTGACTTTAAACCACGCAATACCCCCTTGTTCTGTTCGAACAACTGCCTCCTGATCTGTGTACAGGTTCTTCATGAGCACAGTTAAG